GAGGGGGGGGGGCGTTCATTAGGGGGAAATGGAAGCGTGCGTACAGTGAAAAGTCACTTGGCTGGCAGACGATCGTTTGGCTGCTTTTACCTTTTCCTGGGATACATTTGACTTGTTTTGTGGTTGGAGATGTTACCACCATCTGGCTGAAGAAGAGTCCCGGTCCCATCGTGTCTTCACTGGCTACATGCTGCTCTTGCACCGTTATCTCCAATCATCGGCAAAAAGCCCTGATGAAGGGGGTGTGAGAGCCCCCGGAAACGTGGAGGCTTCATGTTTTGACCTCTTGGATGTAAAAAAAAATGAACCTTCACCGGACTTGATGTAGACCTGTGGCTCTATTTGAACTTACCTGTATACAGCCCTGATGAAGGAGGCTTTGTGAGCTCGCAAAATGTGTTGGCCGTATGATTGGTGGTAGAGTGGGCGGGGGCAACATGTCACTCTCATTATTTGTATTACTTGGTGGTGGGGTGCAGGGATGATGGTTAGTGGTGGAGTGGGTGTTGGGCTGGTGATGGTTAGTGATGGAAGGGGTGATGGTGGAGTGGTGGTTATTGTTGGAGGGAATGGTGGTCATGTGGTGACGGTTATTGGTGGGAGTAGTGGTGGTGGTGGTGATGGTTGGTTATGTTTAGCTGGAGAGGTCATGCGTGGTGGTGGAGGTGGTGAGAAGGGGAGGTCATGCCTGGTGGTGGAGGGGGTGGTGTGGTGAGATGGGGAGGTCATGTGTGGTGGTTCTCACCTCACCACCTGACCTCCCCATCTCACCACCTCCAGCACCACGCATTACCTCCCCAGGATGGGAAGATGGGAAGGTCATGCGTGGTGGTGGAGGGGGTGGTGGTGCTGAGATGGGGAGGTCATGTGTGGAGGTGGTGCTGAGATGGGAAGGTTATGCATGGAGGTGGTGGTGAGATAGGGAGGTCATGCGTGGTGGTGGAGAGGGTGGTGGAGGTGAGATGGGGAGGTCATGTGTGGAGGTGGTGCTGAGATGGGAAGGTTATGCATGGAGGTGGTGGTGATATAGGGAGGTCATGCGTGGTGGTGGAGAGGGTGGTGGAGGTGAGATGGGGAGGTCATGTGTGGAGGTGGTGCTGAGATGGGAAGGTCATGCGTGGTGGTGGAGGTGGTGGTGGTGAGATGGGGAGGTCATGTGTGGAGGTGGTGGGGTGGTGGTGCGATGAGAAGGTCATGAGTGGCGGTGGAGAGGGTGGTGGTGCTGAGATGGGGAGGTCATGTGTGGAGGGGGTGGTGAGATGGGGAGGTCATGTGTGGTGGTGAGATGGGAAGGTAATGCGTGGTGGTGGAGGTGAGATGGGGAGGTCATGTGTGGAGGTGGAGAGGGTGGTGGTGCTGAGATGGGGAGGTCATGTGTGGAGGGGGTGGTGAGATGGGGAGGTCATGCGTGGAGGGGGTGGTGAGATGGGGAGGTCATGTGTGGTGGTGAGATGGGAAGGTAATGCGTGGTGGTGGAGGTGAGATGGGGAGGTCATGTGTGGAGGTGGTGGTGAGATAGGGAGGTCATGCGTGGTGGTGGAGGTGAGATGGGGAGGTCATGTGTGGAGGTGGTGGTGAGATAGGGAGGTCATGCGTGGTGGTGGAGGTGAGATGGGGAGGTCATGTGTGGAGGTGGTGGTGAGATAGGGAGGTCATGCGTGGTGGTGGAGGTGAGATGGGGAGGTCATGTGTGGAGGTGGTGGTGAGATAGGGAGGTCATGCGTGGTGGTGGAGGTGAGATGGGGAGGTCATGTGTGGTGGTGGAGGGGGTGGTGTGGTGACTGGTGGCTTCCCATCCTTTTATATACTCTAAAGTAGCAGACTGGATCTTCTTCTGTTTGATCACCACTAGGGCCGTGTTGTCTATGACGGCACTTGTGGGCCGGTGCCTAGGGTGGC